AAGTTAAATGTTGATAGTGCCTAATCATTAACATAACTAGTGTCTCGTTAGTCTCACCTGTCGATGACTGGATCGTTTCCGTCCCTGTCGCAGGCTCGCGATGGACCGCACCCACTCTCAACTACTCCATAGAGAACGGCCCCACGTCGGTGAACTCCCAGGGCGCCACCGACGACCTGCTCGAGGACGCGCTCAACACCTGGGCCCGAGAGGCCAACATCAACTTCAGGAAGGTCCCCAAAACACAAAAGGGAACGCATATTGAGGTCAAGTACGTCTCAACTGTTTTGGCCTGTCGTATCTCATCAAATATGTTATTCTGTGCCTAAACATTCTGCCGAGCATCGCTCCTACGGCAGCATATGTCGTGCTGTTTGACGAGAATTTTAAGAGTTGGTTAGGTATATCATAGCTGATAGCCAAGTTCGCTTAGGCCCTTACAACAGACCCAAGGGGCAATCATACAAACCCGTTTATCATACAAAATACAATCCAGTTGTCAGCGCGCAACAACCCTTGAACATAAACAATAAGCATACCGAGTTACCGAATACTTCTGTTATGCTCACTCCAGCCCCATGAGTCGCGCCGAAGTCAAGCAATGTGGCACAGCATGCCTCAGGTGCTGTATTTGAGAGCCATCTGTTAGCAGAAGCAACAACTACCACGCAGTGCGGTACAGCATGCATCAGGCGCTGTATTTGAGAGCCATCTGCTGGCAGAAGCAACAACTACCAATCAGTGCGGCACAGCATGCTTCAGGCGCTGTATTTGAGAGCCATCTGCTGGCAGAAGCAACAACTACCAAGCAGTGCGGCACAGCATGCTTCAGGCGCTGTGCTTGAGAGCCATCTATTGGCAGAAGTAGAAACTACCAAGCAGCTATGCGGCACAGCATGCTTCAGGCGCTACTATTGAGAGTCATCTTGTTCATGGCGATAGAAACTATCGATCACTGCGGCACAGCATGCTTCAGGCGCTGTATTTCAGAGCTACCTGTCGGTGGGAAAAGAATCTACTAAGCAGTGCGGCACAGCATGGTTCAGGCCATAGGTGGAGAATTGTGACCAGCTGGGGGTGCTCGGGCGCAGCAAATCCGCCGCCGCCTAGCGGTGACCTTGACCCGCGCCGCCCGGCCGCGGCTCCAAAGCCAAGCCGGCGTGGAATTGGGAGAGCTCGAGCACCCCCAGTCCAGCACAATTCTCCACCCTTCAGGCGCTGCATTTGCCAGTTGGTACAGGGCAGTTGGGTTATTGGGTACCAGTCTACATTTGCTCAATGGGCATTGGGCATCGGTCTTTTTAAGCCTACCAATGCAGTGATGTTTTAGCCGACCGCGAATCACTTGGAACCATAGGCGGTTCCAGAGAGGTGGTCTCGAGCGCTGCGGGAAGGGCGCATACCTACCCCCGAAAAAATTTCCAAATTCAAAACTCTTCGGATCTCGATTTCTTATGCATTGCTATGCTGTATAAAGCATTTATTAATAATAGTTATTTAGTTTTCTTTCTATTCTACATAAAAAAAAAACAATTTGCATCGATTCCGGCCGCTGTGAAGGGGGCATTTGCCTCAAATACTCCCCCCCCCCCCCGTTGAATCCGCCAGTGCTTGAACAATGTTAACATCAAAACATTTTCATTTTTAGATATTATGCATCTTTCGGATACCTACCGTCCCAACCACCGCAGGTTTGAATTTCGATAAAAATCCCGCTCGCTGCAAATCCCGATCACCACAGGTTCGCAGTGTAATGCCGTGCCGATCACATGTTCGCAGTGTAATGCCGTGTCGATCGCCACAGGTTCGCAGTGTAATGCCATGCCGATCGCCGCATGTTCGCAGTGTAATGCCGTGCCGATCACATGTTCGCAGTGTAATGCCGTGCCGATCACATGTTCGCAGTGTAATGCAGTGCCGATCGCCGCAGGTTCGCAGTGTAATGCCGTGCCGATCACATGTTCGGCGTTCGCAGTGTAATGCCGTGCCGATCGCCCCAGGTTCGCAGTGTAATGCCTCGCCACAGTACCGCAGTGTAATGCCGTGCCGATCGCCGCAGGTTCGCAGTGTAATGCCGTGCCGATCACATGTTCGCAGTGTAATGCCGTGCCGATCGCCGCAGGTTCGCAGTGTAATGCCGCGCCGATCACATGTTCGGCGTTCGCAGTGTAATGCCGTGCCGATCGCCCCAGGTTCGCAGTGTAATGCCTCGCCACAGTACCGCAGTGTAATGCCGTGCCGATCGCCGCAGGTTCGCAGTGTAATGCCGTGCCGATCACATGTTCGCAGTGTAATGTCGTGCCGATCGCCCCAGGTTCGCAGTGTAATGCCGTGCCGATCGCCCCAGGTTCGCAGTGTAATGCCGTGCCGATCGCCCCAGGTTCGCAGTGTAATACCGTGCCGATCGCCACAGTACCGCAGTGTAATGCCGTGCCGATCACATGTTCGCAGTGTAATGCCGTACCGATCGCCGCAGGTTCGCAGTCGGTGAGCACGGGGACGGAGATCCGTTCGACGACAAGGGCGGCACGCTGGCGCACGCCTTCTTCCCCATATACGGCGGCGACGCGCACTTTGACGACGCCGAGTCGTGGTCCATCAACTCGAAGCATGGCTCTAACCTATACGTGGCTGCGACACACGAGTTCGGTCACAGTCTGGGCCTGGCGCACTCCCAGGTGAACTCTATGATGAGCCCCTGGTACCAGCGGCCGAAAAACCCCGCCGCCAGGGACCTGCTGGCGCAGGACGACATCGACGCCATTCAGAAATTGTACGGGAAAAGAAACGCCGCCATTTCACCACCTCCCCGCCTCAAGAAACCGGGTCCGGAAATTTTGCCGAACGGCGGTGCGGGCGTGCAGAGGCGGTGGCAGGTCCCGACTTATCACCAGCCTGTCTATGGGGGCTCGGTCAACCAGCCCCGGAGCTACGCAGGGCATCGCAGGGGCGGCTACTACCCGACCCAGCGCGCGGCGCCGCGGCGACCCTACACGTTCTCGTGGTCGAATTTCGGCATCAACTTTGGACAGGACATGTACTCGTACATCACTGAGGACAGACGGGCCGAGACGAAGGCGCATGGTGACGCGGCGCTGTGCGCGGACGGCCGGCTGGACGCGGCTCTCATGGACCGCGACACGATGTACGTCTTCCGAGGCCACAGCTACTGGCGGCTGACTGAGACGGGCGTGGCCACCGGCTACCCGCGCAACATCAGCGCCGGCTGGGACGGCCTGCCGGCGCCGCTGGACGCCGCCCTCTACCACAGCGCCACCGAGCACATCTACATGTTCAAGGTGAGGTGGTCGAAACAGCAGCTAACAGCAACTACAGTGTCAACAGATCCTGGCTAAATACAAAACGGGGTCGAAAGTGTGCCTTGACGGGCAGCATATGTGGACACTGGACAATAAAATGTTTGATTCGGTTTCATAGCAACCGTCAACCTTCCAATGCTTATGTGATACTCGTTATCACCTTGATTGCGAGGAATCATGTCAATTGTTTTCGTATGCGTCATTTAAGTTACCTATAGCTTCCATCTACCCCTTTCTACTGCAGGGCCACAGAGTATGGAGATTCACCGAGAACTACACTATCGAGTTCGGCTTTCCGAAGCCCATCGCGGAGGTGTTTCCCGGTATGGCCGACGGCGACCTTTCGGCTGCCTTCGAGCTGGGTCAGCCCGGTCGCGTGTACATGATCCGGGGCGGTCAGTTCTGGCGGCCGGACTCGCCCGCTCCTCGTCCCCTCTCCGAGTGGCCGGGGATGCCCGACACCATCGACGCCGCCACAAGGTACAGCAACGGCAAGACGTACTTCTTCAGCGGACAGAACTACTACCGATTTGACGACGTCAACCTTCGAGTGAGTTACAAACAGTTCATAGAACACGCAAGCCTGCTATTGATTTGTGGGTGGGGATTTATGTCAGATTTAAAATTGCCCGAACATGAGAGATTGCATTTTTTATTATGCGTGGAAGCGGATAAAGTTGATGTCCGCACGCACTAACGCCTAACTAATGTCCCTGTTGACAAAAGCAATCGAAAATGAGCACCATCGTAAGTGTTAAGTTCGCCGAAGAGAGAACACTTACGAGTTACGAGTAGCTCTTGCAATGCAAAGACGCTTTGCAGTGTGCCCTCCTGTACATTGTCGACCGGCGTGTTCTGCCCGCAGGTGGACAACAGCAGCGACATCCCGTTTCCGAGGAACACCGGCCAGTTTTGGTTCCTGTGCAGACGCTAGTTCAGCCGGCCTTGCAGCGCGCGGAGGCCGGTGCGGCAGCTGAACGTCCAACTTGTCCAGCTGCTCGTGTGTATGTTACGTGGTCGCAGAGTGCACTCGTCTGACGGCCATGCACGGTGGTGTATACACGCTCCAGTCTACCACTAAATACACAGATAACGAATGTAATGGCTGTTATGCATGTCACTCATCGCGTGCGATAGCATTGATGATTGCGCAACATCCCTGTTTTGTAGCACCACGGATGTTAGAAGTGCTTCTCACTCATGGATATGCAGCGGCAAAACCATCCATGGCACCGGACATCTTTTCTTCAGCGTAATCGTGTAGAACCATTTACATATTATTGTCGGTATAAATGGATATAATGATAATGATGGATTGACCATTGTCGCTATTGTAGGTATGTACCATCCTTGCATAGGGCTATTATTGGTAGGAATATGTGCACCGGGCAGGGTATCTACCTGAATAAAACATAAAACGCCAGAACAGTTACTTAAGGCCGATAGGATGTCGGGCATTTCACTGGTCAGTGGTCGTCCATTAAAAGAGATAACTATCGTTGATTTTCCTTTGCTCATTTAATTCACCTACCACGCTCGAAGCTGCTTGGCTCGACCGCTAGCCACAACATATCTCAAATATGCTCGTTGGAAACTACTTGCCTCGGCGCTCTCGTGCCTGTAGTTGCGGAGATAAAACTGTGCTAGAACGTTCCACTAAACCACTTGGAAAAAATACAACATAATTCAAACATTTATTGCAGTGAATCACCTAAAACAAGACTTTACTTCAAAAACTTCGATTCGAGTGCTGTGCTATGTCGGCATATGTCTGACGGCCTGCCGTGGCGGCTGAGCGGCCTATCGCGGCGGCTGACCAGACACTGGGTCTGCAGGCGGCTGAGCTGAGCGGCTAGCCGCAGGCGGGCAGCCGGTACTCGGTCTCCAGGCGGCGAGCTGAGCGGCTAGCCGCAGGCGGGCAGCCGGTACTCGGTCTCCAGGCGGTGCTCGGTCGTGTAGTAGTCGTAGACGGCGATGGTGGCCGGCTTCAGCCGCTGCACCACCGCCTCCTGCAGGACGCGCACATCGAAACAGAGCGTCTTCTTGACCAGCTGGTCAAAGTAGAGCGCCAACACCGCCTGGCGCACCTCCCAGCGCCGGATCACATTGCTCCGCACCAGTTCTTGCAGAACATAGTCAATGGCGACGAAACCGGAGAGCATCTCGATCTCGATGATGGCCATGTTCGACGCCGCATCCGCGGCGGTGTACGAGGCACATATCTGCAGGATAAACGTCTGACAGAGGCCTGTTTGAGCGGGCCGTATGTCGTGCTTAATCTGGAATGCCTGCTTGGCTTTTGTCTCCTTCAGACTGTATCTCAGGACGGTCTGCGCCATGATGCAGCCAGAGCCGGCGGCGGTGACGGACACCGTGGTGGGCAGCTGCAGCGGCCGCAGCTCGGCCTGCTGGTGCAGCAGCCGGTTGCTGGCCGTCACCTGGAACTGGCGTCGGAACGTGTTGCCCGAGGTGACGGTGACGTCCACGTTGTGCGCCTTCAGCTCGCTGGAGCGCCGCTCGACAGCCACCAGTGCCGACAGCGCCACCACCGTGTCCTGCGTGGACACCCAGCCGCCGTGGCCGTTGCGGCGCCGGTCCAGCCAGCGGACGGCCGCGGCGACATCCGTCTCGTGGCCTCCCAGTCGCAGCAGCGTCAGCGTCATGTAGGCGGTGATCTCCACGTCCAGCGCGCTGCTGCCGCTCCAGCGGCTGGAACGTCCCGAACGCCAGTGGAGTGAGTCCTCGCCGCGCACGGCTCGACGCAGCAGGCCTGGCACGGCCGCCTCGGCCGCCGCCCTCTCACCGGCCTCCAGCAGGGCGTGCGCCACCAGCACCTGAGCGTAGAGGCCGCTGGGCGTGCCGTCGCGCAGACAGCGGACAGCGCGGCGCAGCGCCGCCGAGCCCGAGTCGGCCTCCAGCAGCGCCAGCACGGTGAATGCAGTGAGCGCCAGCCGGCCGCCGTCGGCCACGCCGCCGCTCATCGCCTTGTCGTACAGCCAGCCGACGCGGTTGAAGCATCCGTCGCTGCGCTGGTGCTGCTCCACCCAGCGGCGACTGGCGGCCAGGTCCTCGGCGTCGATCGGCACCAGCTTGCTGGCCACCGCGAACCAGCGCATCACGTACACGGTCAGCCAGTGGGAGCCCTGAGTGCGGCGCCAGCGGCTCTCGCCGAACGCCGAGTACGAGCCGTCCGAGTGGCGATACCTCAGCTGCCGCTGGTAGCCGCTCAGCATGTTGTCGACAGTTTTCTTCTTCAGTTCAGCACTGAGCATGTCTTTGGCTTTCATGTACTGATGGACCAGGATGTTGGGAACAAGATAGACCATGTTTTGCTCGCCGCACCCATGAGGCACCTTGACGAGGCTCTCCAGTCCGGTCAGCTGGGTGATCGCCTGTCCAAGAGGATCGCCGTAGATGGAGACCACCGCCCGCGACGAGCCGGGAACCACTCGCGGCGAGAAGCCCAGCTCGAACACATGCGTATTAGAGCCACCCTCCTTTGCACAGACTCGCTCCGTCAGAGCCTCCTCTTGCGGAAAGCCCTCTGGCTTCACCAGGATGTCGCGCACTAGAGCGTCACTCTGGACGCCGATGTCGTTGGGCCTGCCGCACGCCGCGCCGGTGGCTCTGACGGACACCACCAGACTGCGCTGGCCCAGCTCGGTGAACAGCACCGGGAACGTGCTCACTGACGGCTGGTCGGTGCCCACGCACAGCGCGCGCTCACGCTGGCCCTGCAGCTGCACGCCGGGAACGTCCTCAAGTCGCAAAATCACCGAAAGCTGTGTATGGAGGAAATTGAAGACGGAGACTTTGAGCTGCAGTAGCTCTCCGCGTTTCACCGAATAGGGCACATTTATTTCAGCGAAGAAGGGTTTGAATACTTTAATCGATGATTGTCCAGATAGTCCTAGTCCCACTTGACGATGGGAGCAAACCGCCGAGCCTATCCACCTGGTAATAGAGTCAGGAAGCTGCTGAGTCAGCCGGATCTGGCCCGATGATCCAAGAGCATATAACTGGAATATAAACGTTTCGGGGAAGAAAAAACGAACAACCGGCTCGAAAGACTCTCGAAAGGTCTCAACCTCAACGTTTGTTTCTTGCGTATTGATAGAAACTGCTCCTGCGGTGCTGTTCAGGAGTGGCACTTTCCTATCATCGTCCCCAAAAGTAGTAGAAGTTTTAGCTTCAGTAACACCTCTCTCACCACCAGCAGCTCTCGATGCTGTTCTTTTGGCACTTATACTATCCGTGCCTATCTGTCCTATCGTGTGTCCTCTGACTGACTTTTGCCCTGTTATGACGGTAGTCGTAACACCTGAAGAAGAGGCTTGCTCTCCTTCCACGGCTCTTCCGTTTCCGGTTACAGGGAGTGTGGAAAATCCTACTTTATTGGAAGTCTCCACATGCCCCTCCCTGGGATAAATTGGATAGCATTTAATGTGCTTTCGAACAGTAAAAATACGTTCAACACAAGGCCGCGTCTGTAGATCTAAACTTGTCACCGCTAAAAGACCCGCCATGTCAAAGGCAGCTACTGAATCTTCGCGCTCATCCATGTAGGTTTCAATTCTTTTTTCTTCATACCAAATCTTCCTGTGATCCCAATATTGGTTTGATCCTTGACGACGCGTTCTGGAAGACGGGCATGATGGCTTCTCGCTGGTTATGTATCGGGTAGGAATCCGCGAACAATGCTCGTAAGAGGTGCGCGCCAGCTTCGGCAGTGCCTTCTCCCCTATAATCAGTCGTGACACCTGACTGAACACCTTGCCGACGCTGACCGTGTTGGAGGTGCCCAGCAGCTGGGCACTGCGGTCCACCGCGTCCACTCCGCAGAGCGAGCCGGGCGACCCAGTGACCGTCAGGGAGGCGGTGTCCCCTGGCCGGACCTGCGCCGCGCTCCACGACACGGACACTTTATTTGGAAGACAAGGTGCCACGCGGACGACTTTGGAATCGGCGACCACCTCTCCCTGGTCGGTTACAGCGTACACCAGCAGACGGAACGAGGGTGCCATTCGGGAGTTGATCACAATCCTCACCGAGTTCGAGTGCACCGGCCCGTCGCCAACAATGTCGCCGCGCGCCAGTACCAAATAGCGCATGGCGTCGGCACGGAAGTTTGCGCTGCGCCTTACGTCGACTGTGACTGTCTGACCGCACTTGACGCCGCCCAGCAGACTCCGGGCGTCAATAAGCAGAAACGATTCGCTGGGAGAGTACCAGGCGCGCACCAGAGGCAGCGAAAAACGCTGCTCCGTTCCGAGGGTGCGTCCTTTGAATGTTATGTAGGCAATCTCGTCATACTGCGCTGGCACGACGTAGATCACTCTCCCCGAGCTATCTGTGCGGTAAACTTTGCATTTCTCGCGGGGAGAGCCAGTGTTTGCATTTTTCATAATGGGCGGAAGCCTATTTGAAGACTTCTTTGCCATTTCTCGATAGTAATAGACGGTGTAACAGATTTCTACTTGTTCGCTGGTCACTGGGGAGCCATCTTGTCTTTCAAAACGGACCGTCCCATAATAGTCCAAACCTGGTTTGATAAACTTGGGTGATTCGTCCTTGATAACTTTAAACAATTTGGTGCTTTTGACAGGCACAACTACTTCAGATAGTTGGCTGATGCCCGTACTTGCTTCAGTTACATTAGTCGATACCATGTACTGCGTAATACGGTGAGGAATACCCGACGAGCCGTGTAGTCTTGAAATGGATACGTGGATTGATGTGCATCCCTGGCCGTCAGTCTCTTGTGAATATTTGTTCTGACCGTTTTCTGAGGTCCCTTGTCGAAATGCATTCGGCTCCTTACTTGTGATAACCAGGCGAACATCAGCAGCCACCAGAGGCTTACCGAACGTGTACTTGGCGCAGACCTTGACAGTGAGCACTCGCGAGTCACGGTAAAGGACTCCGGGCACGTTGACATCTAACTCGAATCTGGGAGGCACGAACTCCTCTACATCGAACAACTGCTTTGTGGTGGCACCGTCACCGCGGCGCACGTGGATCGTCCAGCGGCCCAGCGGCGGCTCCTGGGTCAGCTGAAACTCTTTCTGCACGAGGCCGACGTCCATCCGAACGTCGAGCCACTGCGCCAGACGGGTGCCCTCGGGCGCCGTTATCCAAATCTCCTTGATAGTATCGTCGAGTGCCGTGAAGTCCTGACGAAGCGAGAGAACTCTCAGCTTGACCGTTTGGCCAGGTCGGTATTTGGCCTTGTCCGTCTGCACCAGGGTTACTAGTACCTTGGGCTCAACGCGGACCTTGGACCATACCGCAGTCTTACCTTGGACCTTGACGTAAATGTAGCTTGCCTTAAGTGTCTCCGGTACTGACACGCCAAAACAGGAGGTGGTGGCACCACTACCCGCCGGTACATGTTTGCTATCCTCGAACACACTTCTGCCATTCTTGCTGTTGGCGAAGCCAATGAAAACTTCAACCGTGCGTCGTGATATTCTCGACGATCGGTGCTCGCGGATCGGGGCCGGGGCACTGCTGACTGTGGTCCGCGCCGGCCTTCGCTCGGCTATCCGGTCTCCGCTGCGGAGGAGACTCAGAATGTTGGAAAGCCGACGTCGCGTGTCTCCCGTCACTGGCTCAAAATTCGCAGAGATCGACCGATCAGCGCTCGGCTCGGATTCTATCAACGTTCTCGTCTGGGAGGGAACGTTGAACACGGTGACGCAGACCCTCTCCTCGGATCCAGCCCGCCACACCTTCGGCGCCACCAGCAGCGCACCACTGTCCACAATGCCGGCGAAGGTGTCGGAGGCCTGCAGCAGCAGCAGTGGCAGCAGCAGCGATGGGGGCAGTCTCGGGAGCGCCATGTTCGGCCGCTCCGATCGCGCAGGGAACAGTGAGGTGCCAGTATACGGCCGGTCGGCTCGTTCCCTCGTCACGTGGGTGTGACGGACGGTGTCACCGGTGAGCGGCGCTGACGTGACGGTCACCCCGGCAAATGTCACGTGTATCCTGGCCGCGCTGACGGTCGGGGACGGCCAGCCTGTCACGGCCGTCAGGTGGCCATGTGGTGGGCCGGGAGGACAGAGGTCACCGGAGCGGGCGGCAGGCGGCCGCCACCCCGCTGCCAACTGTCGCATGGTATCGGAGCGGGAGACAAGCCCGCTGTGTTTGTCGCATGGTGTCAAAGATATAATGCTCTCAAGAAACAGGTATGGATAATTGCAGCATAAACGAACAGCAGAGCTGGCACACCTAACCTATGATTCAAGCCAGATCTAGTGATATCAGCCGCATTTCTAGGTCAGCCCAGATCAGGTTCAGATCACTTATCACTTAGGACGTCTAAAGCACACCTCTGCACGGTCCAAAAATATGACAGCTTCGCATCAGCCCCGGCCCCGCCTACGGTCACGTCACTTCAATAGGTATAATAGGGATTAGAACATGAAAACTGTTATGATGGGCCAAGATGACATCAGCAATAGAAACTATCATATTTTAGCGAGGCTACATAGTTACCAAAAATGGAAAGCAAGCACCTACATTGAAGCCTTTGACCTGACCTCAGAGGTTATCAATAAGCTTGCGATTTTAAAGGTGGATACCAGTCAAAAACCCTCTCGTGGGGAAAAATGAGTAAGATGAGCCGATGGCAAGTTTCACAACCCCGTGCTTCTCAGCTCCCATGGCAATGTTTGATTTGATCTCTCATCTGTCGGTCCCGCATCGTAATAAGGTCTTGTACGTGTGACGCAGACATTTGGCGATATGGGTAAGAGAGAGCTTTGTTGAAAAATCATTGTTGAACGTAACTTCGAATATTTTCATCCCCAAAAAAGATACCGTTTCTACACCTACCTACATATGTTAACATATGTGTGCATACCAATATAGGTATCAACCTACAACTTTCGGATATTCAATTTGATAACTGCTTACACTGCGACGGAGAGCTCACAACCATGGTTCATCAGACCGAGAAGGATGTATTGAGCGACAGATACCTAGCCGTGGGTCCGGTTCACCAGATCGGAAGGATGTTTTGAGCGACAGATTGAAAGTCACATGCCAAAATAGCTGGGCCTCAGCTCTGCCAGCGCATAAGACGGGCGGTGGCCGAGACGGGGAACACAATGATTGGCTGACCAGCTACAAGAGAAGCAATGCAATTGAGCGAAACGGCTCTACAGTAGTAATGCACTTACACTGAAGCTTGCGTGATGGTTACGAACACAGAGAGGTAGGGTGGATCAAACGTGTTTCAGAGGGGGAGCTGGAGCCACGATGCTGCGGTTTTATGTGGTCCGACCTGGTCCGACCCTCGTATTGGTCCGGTAGGACAAACCGAGCAGTACCGGAATAACGCAACATACCTTACGACATCTGTGGGGTGGGCACCACCCATTAACATGTGATGTTTATGTAAGACACCTCAGTCTTCAGATACAGCCTCCGGTCTTACTGCATGTCTCTGTATTCCTGTGTTCTCAGCTTGACCGAACACACAACACACAACCAGCCGCGCCTCCGGCCGCGCTCCACACACACACCCTCTGCCCAGCGCTCTGCTCTGCTCTGCTCGCGCGCCGACGCGCGACCGCTTCCCGCCACAGCCGGGAACACGATTTAGCCGTGCATCCTTCACGGCTCTCGGCCACTAAATAATATTATACCTACTTACACTCCTCCCCTCCTATTGAACAATATGCCAACGACAGTCACAACAAACGCTTAATCAAAAGACCAGTGAGCAGGGTCGAACCGTTTCGGGGGGCGTACCTCACGCCCGAAACGGGTGACAGTTCGCGGCCGCTGATCCACATCCCGCGGCGGCTCGGCATCGAACGGCGGCGGCGGGGACGGCGGCGGAACATGTGGTACCTCCGGCCGGTGCGGCACAGCGTCATGGAGCGGTACAGGGTCAGGTGGCGGCACACAGTCAGGTCGCATCTCGGGCAGACGCGGCATCGGCACGTGCGGCAAAACAACAGGTTGCGGTACATAGCGGCCAGCTGTGACACCTTGGGGCGGAAATACAATTGGCACCCCACCCATACCAGGCACACTATGGGGCCGGCCAATGGGCGTTCCCGGCACATCTCGCCAGAGAGACAACCCATGCGCTCTTGTCGCGGTCCTGTGCCCCTCACTCACAGCCGGCGGGCGCTCCACTGTGTTGTCCGGCTTCAAGCGGTTGTGGTGCACCACCAGACTGCGCCGCTTTCCCTCCTCGCGCACTCGATAGTTCACTGGTCCACATTGTTCTATGATCTCAGCCGCACGCCAAGGCCTCACAAACTTATGATATTCACCGCGCTTCGGTACATTGCGAAACAAGAACACTTTGTCACCCGGGCGATACGACCACTCGTTCATTCTGCGCTCATACAAAGCTTTGTTGCGGTCATGGGACAGCTGATCGCGCTTAACCACATCCTTAAAAGTAAGTCGGAGTGTCTCTCTCAAATCGTCTATGTACTGGGGGAAGGTTGGGGCCCGATCCACAACCGGCCGATCACCCAGCGAGGCTTCCGCCGGCAGGCGGGGCTCTCGCCCAAACATCAAGGCGAACGGAGAGTATCCCGTGCTGTCGTGCACCTGACTCCGGTAGGCGAGCATGAGCATCGGAAGATGCTTATCCCACTCCGTGTGCTGCTCAACAAACTTAGCCAGCATGTTCAAAATGGTGCGATTGGCTCGCTCAGTCATCCCGTTGCCCATAGGGTGATAACTGGATGTCTGAGACTGCTGAATGCCGAGCAGTTCGCTCACAGCTTTCATCACCGCACCGACAAAGTTCCGACCTTGGTCCGAGTGCACACGTTTCATGACGCCAAAACGAGAAATAAACTCATTTACAAGAACATTCGCAATCGTAGTAGCCTTTTCATCCGCGAGGGGATACGCTTCAACCCAGCGTGTGAAGTGATCAGTGATCACTAGCAGGTGTTTGTAGCCTCGAGCGGTTTCCGGCAGGTTGGTCACAAGGTCCATGGACACCAGCTCCATCGGCTCGGACGCAGACAACTGCCCCATACTCGCACATGGGCGGGGAGTCGGAGAGTTTCGCGAGGCACAGCGGCGGCACTGTTCGCAAAACTCAGTCACCGTACGCTCCAGGAGCGGCCACCAAAACCTGAGTCGCACGACTTTCGCCAGCTTTGAAGCGTTGAAGTGCCCACCCGACGGACCATCATGAGGCGACCCCAGCACCACAGGCACGAGCTGGGGTGGGACTACCAGCTGCAGCTGGTCGTGCCCCCTCGGCCCAGCCCGGAACACTCTGTACAGAACATTATCAATCAAACGCAGACGTGACCACTGCCTCCAGTACGGCAGAGCGCCCTTTGACACGGAGGACTGGGAGGGCCGCTGTGTGCTCCCAGCAAGCTGCCTCTTCACCTCCGCCATGGCGGGGTCTGAGTTCTGCGCCGAACACATGAAATCAGAAGGCCACATGGACTGAACGTGGCGAGCTGCGACGGGAGGCGACTGAAAATCCATTGTGTCTGTCTGTGTAGACACCTCCTGCGTGGGGTCCGGCCTCCGACTGAGCGCATCCGGAGCCTCATGTAGCCTACCTGGCCGATGAACAATCTCAAACTGAAACTCGCCCAAAATCTCCAGCCACCGCGCCAGAAGCCCGTCAGGGTTTCTGAAATTCACAAGCCACTGCAGAGCGGCATGGTCTGTACGGAGCGTGAACTTACGACCCAAAAGGTAATGTCGGAACTGCTGCACAAACGTCACAGCTGCGAGTAGCTCCTTTTTAGTGACTGAATATTGCCGCTGGGATTTAGACAGGCTTTTACTGTCAAATGCCACTGCCCGCTCACCCTGTCCATCCCTCTGCAGCAGAACCGCGCCCATCTTTGACCCTGAACAATCCACGTCTAGTACGAATTCGCTCGCTCCCGGGGAAAAGTCAGGGTATTTCAGAACCGGAGCCGTGCACAGCGCCGCCTTTAGCGAGTCAAAAGCCATCTGAGCCTCCGCATCCCAATGGAAGTCTACGTCTTTCCTGGTGAGGTGATGCAGCGGAGCCGCGATAGCAGCAAAATCTTTGATGTACCGTTTAAAGTACGTTGCCAATCCCAAGAACTGTGACAATGCCTTCTCATTCATAGGCACCGGCCAATCCTTTACTTTGTCTACCTTTTCTGGATCGGGACTGACCCCATCAGACGACACCACGTGACCCAGGTAAGTGATCTCTGATTGAAAGAATTTGCACTTTGAGAGGTTGAGAGTCAAATTCGCAGCCGACAGACGACGGAACACCTTCTCAAGACGTGAAAGATGCGTGTCAAAATCGCCAGAGAAAACCAAAATGTCATCAAAGTAGCTCACTGCATCAGTGGGAGCCAAATCACCCAATACAAGACTCAACAGTCTGGCGAACGAACTCGGGGCACCACTGAGGCCATATGGGCACGTTGTGTATTGCCAAAGCCCAAACGGCAGCGTGATGGACGTTTTGGATCGATCCTCCTTTCGGATGCTCATCTGGTTGTACCCGCTTTTTAGATCGAGCACCGAAAACAAAGAGTTACCTCCCAGGCTGTCAAGTAGGACATCAACCCTTGGGATTGGAAAGGCTGGCACCTGGCACACGCGGTTAAGTTTTCGAAAATCCCCACAAATTCGCACAGAACCGTCTCTTTTCTTCACCAGGACTACCGGTGATGACCAAGTGCCATCAGACGGCTCCAGCACCCCCTGATCTACCATATCCTGCACGCGCTGCTTTACTTCTGTCTCCAGGTGTGGGGGAATTCGTCTGGGAGCTGATCGCACCGGCTTGGACACCCCATTGTCTGCATCATTCCCCTCCCCTTCAATGGAGAAGTCGGCTTCCATTGATCCTAGGCCCTTGCCCTTAGACACCG